AAAGAGTCACTGCAGATCAAGAGAAATAGAATAAACATGTTTGTACGTTGGGCCTTTAAAGACCATCTTTACAGTGACGAAGTAGTTATCAATGGATCAAGTACACCTTATGACCATCCACATTCTATGTATACAACACAATGTATCACAAACTAAATGTCCTGAAGGGGAATAGGTGGGAGGAGGACATTAAGACCAGGATAAGTGGAGAAGACTAGAACAAGAATAGGTACGCTTACTGCTGCATGAAAAATTGACGAAAGTGATGCAAATAAGAGATCAACATGATTAATCTATCGTCTAACATTCCTGAAACATTCTGGTTTAAAGAAAATTCTACAGCTGATATTTAATTCATTACAGTTACAGCCAACAGTTCTGGAAAAGAGAGGGCTTATCAATCTTTAGATTCAGACCACTTTGTGCAAAATATCAAGAAAATGATTGCAAAGTCACCAGAGATAAACTCACAAACATGGGATCAAAAAGAAAAGATGAGGAGATCAAAGTTGACTATCAATATAATTCACAATGTGGGGAAAAACATGTTCAGTTCAAGCAGTCTTTCAGTTACAAAACAGAAGTAGGCCCCTTACTCAAACACAGGGGACCTCAAATAGTTTTTTTATCACGGTGTATACTGTATATTTTCCACATCTGCTTTCTTTCTGGCCCTCTAAAGCATGCAACTCTATATCTTAGAATTTAAACCTTGGCTGATCCCACATTATTACATTCTCTGACGCACTGATTTTAAAGTCATAGTACTTTCATCATTTCAAAACCTAGGGCATTAAAACTAATTTTTTTTTTAAATTTCATTGGATATTAGATGTTTGACTGTGAAGCTTCTATCAACTATGGATTATCTGATTCACATCTTGGTAGCACTAGGTAGCAAGAGCAAGGAATTTATACATCATAGTCTCATTGAGATAGAAATTATCTTTTCCCCTTTTCAAGCTTTTCAAATCTAAAAACTATATGAACAAAGGAAGTTTTTTAATGGTGTATGCACTGACAATCTGGAAACTTAATAACTTAAATTTTTTTTGTTAAAAATAATAGCAATCCTTTGGAAGAACACTACAGCTACAATGTGAAAGGACCATTTTGTTATTCTTGCATAAGTCATTCAAGTGACAAAGAGGATCTAGAGAAATGCTGCCACGGTTAAACATCAGAAAAACAACACCAGTTTCAATACCAAAATTAAACATTTCCTTTCTGAACAAATAACTACTTATAATGTGAACAGAGTTACGCTTGCTTCTCAGTAACAGATAAAACACTTTTATTTTTCCCCTGAAGTAATGCCAGAATGGTGTTAGGTACATACTAAGCTCTCTGAACAGAATCATTTGCTTTAAATTACTGGATTTCACAAGCAGAACCCAAAGATAAATTTAAGCTTTTCATAACTAATTTTCCTGTAGTTGCAAATATGGGTTCATAACAACGCTCTCATCAAACAAACTTTTGCTTTTCACAAGCAAAGCAATTAAAATACAATACATATATATATATAGCATCAAGAACCTTAATTCAAGAAGACCATGTCCACTTCGACCATGAATAATATTATGTTTGTTGTTCAGAGAGATATATGCCCTTCAGCTTGGGATTCTTTTCAATTAAATTGTTAACATAGATTAGAAAGGCATTTTTTTCCACATGAATGAACAGACTCTGACAGTCAAAAACAAAAATAAAATTTATAACTGGTACTGAAAATTCTAACAAAATATATAAAACATAAATAATTTGGTACTCTCGTATTGCAGAAGAGTGTGGCAATACAAAAGACTGCAATTTAAACTGAATCTGTGAACACATATTAATCTTCCATTTTTCAAGGACCACAAATTTTGATGAACTTGCCTGAAAAAAAAGGTTGGCAGCAGTACATCAAACTTTTATTTTCAGAGATTTACAGAGTGCATTTTTCATCTGCAACAGCGTTAGCAATGATAGTACATAACAAGATGGTTCACTCAGCCAAAAAAGTGTCCGCAGGAAGTATGCTCTTTGCTTCAGATGGCGCTGCAGTCTGTTTTGAAGCTCTCTTTCGTTTTTCCAGAAGAAGAATAGGAATAGCACCTCCTTGCGTGCGCAGATCGACTGCTGTTCATCAGCAGTTCGGGTACGTTCAGTGCGTAGTTTTAGGTTGTTTTTTTATTTTAATGACCTCTCGCCTTTCATTCTAAAGTCAAATTAAACGAAGAAAACCATCACCCTTTCCTCCGGAAAAGGTTTTTTGTCAGCGTAACCATTTTAAAAAAGCGTTCTTCCGAAATTTATCCCAAAACATGCTAGTTTCACTTTGATTTTTAAAAACTCAAGTAGGGTAACTCTGTTCGCAAAGAGTGCGCTTTTGTGAAGAGGGCGCCACCAAATTTTGAGGACACTTTTTTAATTGGCTCAAAGAGCGAAGTGGCCCATCTTGTTATGTACTATCATTGGCGTTAGTCAGTTGATTACAAAGAAATTATGGGTAAATCAGTGTTTGTGTTGTACTTCAGGGAAAAAAAATTAATAAAAAATAAAAATAAGCCACATTTTCTGTGAGAGACTGCATGTGCAATCAAAGCATCAAATTATGCTGACACATTTGCTGTACATTGAAACAGTATCATATACAACATGTACAAAAGTAGTGCCCACAAAGCACCACTGTCAATCCACCCAGAAGGAAGTTTCAGAGAACACAATTTACATTGCATTGAACGTCACATGAACTATACATAAAACTTTCAAGAATTACACACTCAAAATCTTTACACTGTACAAGAGAAAAACCTTTAAAACATTTACATCTTTACATGTTCCAATGGGGGGGGGGGGGGGATTTGCCTTGTATTATTTTTTAGAACCAGTAAGAACATTACCAGACCTAACCTGTAGACCTACATCCCCTTTCTTCATCCTGAGCCAAAGTATACTGACATTTTAACTCCTTGTGGAATGTCTGGTAGTTGAGCTGATAACCTCATCTGTGTTCATACATTTTCTCCACTTCCACTCAGTAACATCCCGGCCAAAAACTACCCTTACTTTTACCCTTTTTTGGTACATCATAGAATGGCAAAATTTTCCACATTTTGATGTACCACTGCTACCTGGAAATGCAAAACCTGTATAGTCGAAAAGGTTAAACATTCAAATTACAGTATTACACTTAACTTATTAACAAAGGCAGAGCAGTTTTTAAGGTTTTTTTGTTTTTTTTTTACACCTAAAAAAAAATTCCTAACATATCTCTGCAGAGGCACTTTCAACACAATTATTGCAATTTATCAAAAAAGCCTACGAGAGATAAGTCTTACAGTTAGAAGACTTGCAAAAATACTCAGCTGCAAGTAATATGCTGACATTGATACGCTGTAAATTACTTCAATAAATGCAAAAGGTACTTGCATCAATTTTCATACACATTAGAACTTATTTCATAGGTCTTACATATCTCTGATCTGTGGGCAGGCTAAACTGAGCATATAGTCTTCTCACAAATTGACGAAAATGTGGAAATCTCTAGAGCAATTGGTGCTTATCAAAGACATTCTTGTATTAACGAGTTGAAGAAGAGCACACCTGCTCAGCCCAACTGTTGAGAAAAGCTCCAAATCAACCACCACCTGAACACAACATGAAACATGAACTTGTACCATTTTTTTAAAAAAAAGCTCAAAAACCATATTTGGCAGCCAGGTAGGCAAAGCATACTATCCTTTTGGAAATATTGTGCGACAGAAGAAGTGCAAATTCTCACACTTGTAATCATCAGGAGTTTTACTGTTCCCATTCCTTCTACCTTAAAAACACTCTGGTGATGCTTGACCACATTTCTTGCCTGTCAATTTGTGGCTTAAAACTTTTTTTGAAGAATATTTTTTTTTAATGAAGGCAAGGACACAAACATGAACACCTCTTATGTGCGAATGGGTGTGCAAACATCTGCACTTACGAAGTCCAGCCTTTGAATGTGTATATTTATACAGCAGGCTCTATCTCAAAACCTGGTTTTCAGGGGGGAAAAAAGCGAATACCTAGGCAAACCGGGTTCTTAGATCTCAAAAGGTACAACTCAGCTTCTGGCTTTTGGCTTTCTTTGTTTAGTCTATAATGAAATATGACCCGTAGGCAATACTGACACCCAAGGGAAGATAGTGTGGTTTGCTTTGAAAAAAAGAAATAAAATAGGTGTTTGAGTCCGCGAGTGGTATGCTTGTTTTCGGTACAAGTGTAAACCTAAGGATTAGGAGTGGATTTTAATGATGCAACAATGTCACTAGGACTTGAAAGAGCATACTGAAACCGCTAAAACAGCACCAGTCATAAATTGCGTAACTGAAGGGAAAGAACGACCTTGAATGTGCAGGACCAGACTTCATAAGACAATAGGACAATCTGACCACGCATCAGAAGCAATCGACTGTACCCATAAAAAAATCATGTTATAGCCTGCCAGCTCAGCATCTAAGAAAGTTTATTGCTCTGAGCTCAAATCCCGTTTTTAGGCTGCAGATTTCTATTTTTCAGACAGTATGAAAATTATAGAGAGGAAATTCTGTTACAGAGTAAAAGAAGGGTCTTAACCCTATCCGTACGCCCTGGCGTCATTTTGTACCCCCGGGGTTGCATTCGTCACATTTTAGAATACTTCTAGTACGAAGATCTCTTTGAAACTTTCAGTACCGGTATTTCTCAAAAAATCATTTTGACAGACAGCTATGCAAAGAGTACGGATCGGATTAATGAGTAAATTTCCTCTTTGGAAAGTGGTGGCACAGAGTTCCCCACCTTGTATGGATACGATAGTAATACACGACGTACGGATAGGGTTAAATGGACCAGGTTCTTATACTGAGTGCCCTGCTGCTGAGACCATAGTATATATGTATTTTTGAATGTGTACTTTCCGCATCCACAAAAAACAGATGCTTGCATGTATACATAAATGAAGTACCTCAGTGTCCTCAGTGACCAAGCAATAACCAGAATGATGTCTTCCAAGAGGTCTTTAATGAGACAGTATATCAACATTACAAGCAGGAGCAGTGCCAAAGACCACCCTGCTAAAATCTATTGTCTTTCTCTCTCACTTTAAAGGAAAGGTTACACACAATTCAAAACTTTGATTTCCTTATATATAGTATTTTAGCTTTTTACCGTAAGATATGATTCACAGGATTGCACTCATTATGTTTGTGAGCTGAGAAATTTTGAGACAGAAGTGACTTGTAAGAAATCAAGTTTCTCACAAACGGTAAAAATACTGTCATATACGTGAAATCACAACCAGCAGTAACAAGAGATTCAAACCAAGCTCTTCCAGTATACATGATGACCATTATATCCTCAAATCAGGTCACAAATGCCTTACTTGCATTTTGATTGTGGAACATTTAAGTACGGCTAACTCCTTGACATTTTGATAAACACACTTAATATGAACTGTTACTGTGTTTATTTTTTATAAATAAAAAGGTAAAAACGTGTTATGGACAGAGGGTGTCAAAATAGCTTCACAACCATTTGCTGTAGAATCGCAAAGGTAACGAAGGATTCATCAAAGCACCATGTCTCAAAAACCTTATCCTTTAAAAGGTGAAGAATATGCTGTTTCAAATTTTCAAGATCTCTGCAGGAACACAATCCACAACTTATATATTTACTAGGCAATGCAGTGTTGTGGTCCTACTCTTCATGTCCCCATTTAACATTCAACAAGGTGTCTGGAAAAGGTAGCCTTCAAAGAATAGAGAGCCAAACACCTTCCTTTTATGTCAAACAGTACACCATCTACAGAATCTGAAAAACCTGAGAGTAAATATAAATCACATACAAAAAAAAAAAAGAAATAAAAATGCAAAAAGAGCAAAGCATGATTTCAAGAAAATTACAGAGTAGTTTCACATATCAAATGCTCTGATTCACAAGTCAAATGTGTGCTCATCCACACTTACACATTACATGAGAGGAAAAGAATAAACTTGAAAAGCCTGGACAACTTTAGATCTTAAATCTTTACACACCAAATATTTGACCACAAGGATCAAAATTGATATGTACAAATGCAATATATACAAATTCAAACACCATGATCTTGTGACTCTGGATCCAACTCATCCAAAAAATCAAAATCTTTCTCAATTTCTGCAATTTGGTCCCTCCGTGAAGCTGCATCAATCTCACTCTCATCATCGTCTTCATCAGATTCAGCAATCGTCGGCTGTGGGTTCTGGAAATCAATACTTTCACCTTCCTCAGAGCAAGTGTATGTGATTTTTGCACCAGTTCTGGGGATCATGCTGGAAGAAGACGCTGTCTGGCCTTGTCCAAGAGTGGCCATACCTTGTAAAGCGGTCTCCATCATGGACGAAATAGTCCGGGCAACAAGAGCCCCTGTTAAGGCCTGAGCAGAGGCTTGAGCAGATGCAGCAGCTGCGATACTTTTGCTTGCATCCATAACGTCTGCTTGAGAGAAATCTGCATCTGGAGAAAGGTTGTGTTCATCCTCTGACTCTGACTCCGCGAAATGCTTGGCAGCAAACTGAAGTGAATTCAGTCTACTACTGTGAGAATTAGGGGTTTCTGGGGTGGCAGGAAGTTCCAACTCATCATCTGTATTGTCAAGGTCATCAAATGACGGCATCTGCGTAAGATCCAGCTCAAAGTCATGGTCATGATGATCTGTGAGAACACACAAAAAAGGAAGTTTATAAAAGAAAAGAAACAAAACCCTGAAAAAGAGGCATTAACACAATGCGGATTAACTTTGCCACTCAAAACAAAAGTCCAAAGTTTCCAGTAATTCTAAGTTTGACATTTTTTGTAAAAACTCAATCAAACTCACTTCAAACAATACACATATTCTTGCTTTAAAGACACTGACAACTTTATTCGATTGACAAACAGGGTATATATGCTTTAAAAACAGCAACTAATTATTTAACTCCTCAATGATGCTCAATAACATGATCAAGATGGAACTAAATCCTATCTAACTACTTTTGTCCTAGCTTCAAGCGAGGTTAAGGATTACATACCATCATCACCATTGCTAAATGAAGGATGTTTTGACATCCTCGGGGTTGGAATAGCTGAGTTAGGTCCTTCTTCCTCACTATCTGTAATGGCCTTCGCGAGAGCTGCAACAATATCTGGATCTCCCTGCACAAACAAAAAGTAAAGAAAAGAATGTTACACTGATCTTTATTTGCTTTCATACTTGCAATCAGCACACAGAAATCTTTTGCCAGATATTCATAAATAAAGCATGTTTTCCTCAATTAAAAAAAACAACATTAAAAAATCGCATGCAATTAGAATTTTTCTAACAAGATGTGTCACAACACAGTAGAATCAGGTGCTCATCAATTTTTGGGCATATGGAGTTACAAGTATTATCTTAAAGTCTGTTCATTTGCCTTGATTTTGACGGAAAAAAATACTCTTTTATCTTAAAAAGAAGTCAAAATATTTGTAATTGCAAGGAAGTCGGGGGTTGCCTGGTGTCAGAGGTAAAATTAGCAACAAAATGGCCGCCAAAGTTTGGTGACTTCCAAAGTTGTGGTGTCCTTCGAAATTGCAAATTTACAGTTATTGTGCCTTTGATCAGCATTTTAAAAAAAAGTAAAATCCATGCAGGAATGTGTTTTTAAATAGACATAAATAGTGTTGAGCCCAAAAAGAAAAATTTGATAAAAATTGCCCAACAGGCAGAAATATGTCAATTTCTTCGATTCATTATTTTGACGAGCGTCTGATTTCACAACGATACCTGACATATACAATTTAACTAAATAAGTATCAATTTTAAATTTCAGGCTCTGCTGATTTTTTCAATGTTATAGCGTTTGTTATTTTGAAAGCGTCTTTTGTCAAATATTCTAGGTGTAAGTTACAGGTTAGTTGACTTTATGTCACTCTCAAAGATTACACAGTGGGATAAGATGGGCTCAATAAGCTGTATTCACAGAAATTGGTGCAGCCGTTAGTGTAGCTTTTTGTTGCTGTGGCAAAAGAAATGAGCAGCCCCAATGTTTTTACCCATTCTGTAAATCAAGGTGAAATAGAGTACTCTACTGTCAGAATCAGAAATGAGTGCTGAATTGCAAATGTATAACACAGTGTAAGAGATTATTCTAACCAGTCTGGTAAAAGCTAGATTGGTACTGTACCAGCAATGATAGTCTAGGCAGCTTGCCTAGTCAGAACGTCGCCTATTTGAAAATCTAGTTTGCTGTAATATTTTTTAAAGGACTTATTAAGACAGCCTCTAATACAAAGTATATATTGAGTGCCATTGTTCCAATCAAAGAAAAGAAAGGACTCTAGCAACTGCCACAATTCTTTAAAAGTCCAAGCTCCTTTAATTTGCAGTTTCCAAACTATGACAAACACGCCAAAGATTAGAGCTATGTGCTAACACATTTAAATTGGTTTCATTCACATACGCATATGAAACAGAATACTGGTACTTCAGGAGTCAAGCACCAAGTTAAAAAAAAGAATTGCACAGTAAGTTTTGCCCCCCTTTTCATAAAATGTTTTTACTTCAATAAAAAAGCACTTAACTTAGTTCATTTTTTTACATAAAATGTTGCCATTCTAGCACTTCATTTTCTTGTGCCTCTGCCACTTCATCAACAATTATGTATCCCACTTGAGTCCAAAAAAGTATGCTTGATAAAAACAGTTTATTCTTTTTTCAGGGAAAACAAACCTTCGGAAGAAAGTCATCCTCATCCACAACTTCTACTCTTGGCCCATCACTGACAGCAGCGCCACCCGATGACAGGTTCAGTCGACCACCCAGTGCTGAGGACGGTCAAATTCTCTTACTCAAAGGTCTGATTTTTAAATTTCACATTAGCTTAATTAGGGACAACACAAAATGGAAAAAAATTGAATTCTTATACCATTATCAATACTCATAACAATATTTACAATTACCTGTCAAAATGATAATAAAAGATAATAGATAGCATTAGTACAGCGCAAATTCCTACTCGATAGCAAGCTCTATGTACTTTACAATCTATATTATTACACGAACAGACCTGATAGCATTTTTTTTAAATCTCAACTTCCTGGGAAGCATACAGTGTAAGCTGACATTTTATAGGTGCTAAAACACTTACAAGATCTTTCACTGTCTACGAACGGGTACTCATTCACATCTGGGTGAAGTGAGGAAAAAATTTGTGTAAAGGACACAAAGAATATTAAAGTCACACCAGCACCCCTGTATCTTCAACTGAACACTTTATCATTGCAAGTCTGCAGTTTTGAAGCATTTCAAAGTTATGCTCATGCCAAACTATCAACACGCCAGACAGAAGAGATTTAACTCCTGGTAACATTCAATGTAGAGACAAACAAAAGCCACTGTTTAGCTCACTTACTTATTACTGTGTGACACTTTGCCTTCAGGTGATAGTCTAACCACATGAAGCCCGGTTCCATTTTCACATAAGCTTTTCTCAGCATCGAATGGTACAAAACAGAAGGCCACAACATGAGGCTTATGACTGAGGAAATTTTTAAAAAACACACAGAATGAAAATATTGCAACATTCTTCATCCACCTACAACCCCCCTCAAAAAAAAAAAAATTATTCATAACATGTCACTGACAATTGATTTTTCAAGGGCCCTTCTACAAAGAGTAACGTCATTAGTATTAGTAGAGGTTTTGCGGCGCTTGCAATGGCATAAGGTCATATGAGCGCCAGAAGATTAGAGGTGTTACAAGAGAGTAACAAACATAAAAAAGAAGAAGGGGAGATAAGGACGATAGATGTTTGATAGGAAAGAAGAAGCAAACCACACCAGAGCACCCGCCAACCACCTACAGAGTAATATCAGGCATAGCAAAAAGAACAATGGGAATAAAATGTGAGGAACACTTTTGTTTCAGGCTAAGACAAAATTTCAAGGCTCTCTTGAACAAAATCAAACTAGGATAAGTAGGCGAACACCATAGGCAGCCTAATCCAGAGGCATTAAGAAGAAAATTATTTTGAAAGTTGTTTTTTAACATTACAGCTTTCATCTACTGTTTCCCATTGCTCAGGTTTTGTGGTTTTTATTCTGGTTTGGGTCTTTTCTGGTTTGGGTTATTCATGAAACATAATCTTATATACATCACAGTATTCCACTAATTTACCAATGTGCGCATAACTTAACATGCTACTCCTGTAGGCCATCGACCTATATCATGGATCTAAACTCAGAATTTTTAAAAAGGAGGAATTTCCCATGTGATCGCTACGGATGCGAGACACTCAATATTATTATACTGTTTAGACCTAAAATGCTGAAATAAAACCCATCAGTTTTTCAAAGTAAGGTTATTTCATACCACTTAGAGGGTTTGGAAGATAATTTAAAGCAAAAGAGTCACTTACCAAATATTTACAATCTTGAATATGTACAGAAAGTGGTGGCGCATTACTGAGTAGCGGAAGTTTAGCAGAGGAAATGGAGGTAGCTGAAATCCGCTAAATAGTGAAACATTAAAACCCATCTATATAGAGTATGTACATTTGGCGCGACCACTTACCCTAAAACACTCTGCAAAGTTGGTAGTATTGACGATACAACGCTCCCAACTGGCCAAGGGGAGACGCATTTAGCTTAAGCGCAGCCTTGCACGAAATAGTGAGGCTTAGGTACATTTGTGCGCCATTATGAGACTTACAGTGCATCACAAAATAGCATGTTAGCTCATCCCCATTTTCTGTCTGCGGCCAGTGTATACACCAACCGCGGCCTGTGCTTTCTGACCGCAGCCGTCTGTGTTTACAGGCACGGCCATCCCTTCTTTTTTCATCGTTATAATGAAATTATTTATTCGTAGACTTAATCATTTGCTTTGGAGTTAAAGAAAGCGCATATGAATCCCAACAGCAGGTGTTTGAGTTTGTGTTTTGTTAAAGCAGTGAAAGGAATGTAGATCTATTGCTGTCCCAGAGAGAGAGAAATAGAGAGAGATAAACAGAGAGAGAGAGAGAGAGAGAGAGGGGGTGGGGGGAGAGATAGACAGACAGAGGCACTCCTGTACAATTGCGGTCCCGTTTGCACTAAAACTAAATCACACTAGATTCTAGGCTTAAGTGCCCCTGTAGTCATTTTTACATGTTTCTTATTTAGATCTAAACTGAATTAAAATTATATCTAATCTAGATCTAGATCTATATATCTAGAGATAGATTATCTTGGCTATCTAGAACCTAGAGATCTCCAGATATCTAGACCTAGATCAAGATTCACTCCCACAATGGCCATCATGTAAACAAACGGGACCGCAATTGTATAGGAGTGCCGAGACAGACAGACAGAGACAGATTGTCACCTCCCTTTAATGGATAATTGCTCTTACACAATAACACAAAACACTATACTACCCCTTTATTGTGATAGCTCATTTAACTACCTTTCCAGAGGTATCAAATATTTATATCTTGGTTGAAAGCCTATGGAAACAGAGTCGATTTGAATAAGATACCCTATTGTAATTGATGTTCCTTAGTAAATTAATTTTTACGTAATGGGCAAGTCAGTGGAAAAAAAAATTCCAGGCGGAGTGAGTTCAGCAACATAGGCCTACTTACTGGTGATGTAAGCCAACATGAAACCTGAGATGTAATAACCAACCATGGCAGTCAGTGTGAAGAAGGCAGTATTTCCAAGGCAAAACTGGGGAGGGGGGGGGAGGGGGGAAGGAGAGAGAGTACAGAACAGTAGATATCATTTGAACTGGAAAATAGACACAACAGAGTGGGCTATAAATGTTACTAACACTTTTAGACATTTATACTATGATACACTGATCTGTCTTTCAAAGTTTAAGCAACATTTAAGAACACAGTAGATCAACAATACTCATAGAGAAAAGACACCCAGCGCTGCAACAAATAAACTCTCTTCACTTGTGAAGCCATGGTTGAATACAAAATATATTCTCATTAGCTAAAAATAACCAGTATGCGGTTGGGTCAAGTCATGCAGCTGTCGCAACAATTTCACTTTATCTTTCATATCAAAACATGCCAATTTTCCATACCAGCTCAGGTACCAGTCTTGTTCCCTGAGGGAAGCTATTGTATTTACCCCCTCATGGCCCCAAGAATTACTCCATTTAAGTTTGATAAACAAATATATTTCAGGCATACATAAAACAGAATATCTCAGATTGTCATTATTGTCTTTTAAGAACTTCACCAAATTAAGAAGGCAACAAAGCTGAAACAAGCCATCTCACAATTTACACAGCCAGGCAGCGACTATTTGTGAAGATTTAAGTTGTCAAAAAATCACAAACAACACACGGTAAAATCAGGCAAGGAAAACTCTGCAGCATGTATGGATCTTGAGGGGAGGGGGGGGGGGGGGGGGGGGGGGGGGAGGGAGGGAAGAGTCCCTCTGAATATGAGGCATAAGCTATTTTAAAAAAACAAAAACATATCCCAATTAAAGGTTATTGCAATTGATCGTGGTTGGGTCCGATACCTCAACATTAGAACCAAAGCTTTACCACCATCCACTCTTTTTTATTTTTATTATCCAAATTTTTAACTCTCTTTCGTTCTGCACATAGGATCAAATCATAATAAACAAGATTCTGTTATTCCTGTCTCGCTTACCACAAGTGGGTGGCTCACTCGGGAGCTTCTAAGCCATCGAAATGTCTTGACAACATTATCCCAGAACTGGCTGATGTGAATACTCAGTTCAGGTACACTGAGCAGACGTAGGTGCACTGGTGTCCACCTGCGAATGAAAGATAGTAAACTTCATGGCATTGGACAATTGATCGAAAGCCTCATAAATCCCTGGACTAACTACCTGATGAACCCAAGCGCACTCCTGAGCAGGACTATTTTCACTCTTCTGCATACTGAACATATGCCTCAGCATACAGCAGTGCATTTTAACACACAAGGACTTGGAGGCGGGGGCGCCACAGGCTCAACAGGTCAACATCAAAATTGGTTTGTTTAAAATTGTGTTAGCCAGATACAGTATCAATGAATGAGACTACCAAACGTAACAAGCGGTACATGGATCATAGAAGGAAGTCAACAGGCTTGAGCCTGAGCTTTACCAAACTGCTCTCTTGCCAATCTATTCACAGTTCACATAATAGTTCAAGCCTAATACTAACAAATAACAAGACATTAGAGGAGAACTCAATGAACTTATAACATTAGCCACACTGTAGCACCAGCCAACCACCAAAAAATTACAAAAATAGCTACACCATTTGAAGAAGGAGATCCAATTAACTGCCACTTTTTCTTAAAACGGAAAGACAACTGCCACACTAAGGACAGAAAAATTTTTAATAACAGACAGAGAACACAAAGGAGAAAACTTGTGTTAATTTTATGAAAAAACTGTACATTTCCTGTTTTGATTACTCACCCATCTTTGTCTTCTGGTTCCTTTGGTGGTACTGAAATGGTGAAAAATACAAAAATCAACATGCAGCATAATATTTTCATTTTCTCTAAAAGTTTTATATTACTGTACATAATGAAATTCGGCATAATCATTACTTTGGACTGAAGATTGACACCATTAAGAAGTAAAGAATGTTGACCAGGAAGATGGAAACCATGATTAAAATTTATCATCAACATGTTCTGACAAAGTAAATCCTTTTTTTCAGCTCATCTTTTTGACTAACAGAAAAATTAAAAAATAAAAGTACAGTCAATGATTAGAAACATGGGTCTTCTAGTCTTTTGCTTTTTGTTTTGTAAAGTGTTTTACGGCGCTCGCAACTGCATTAAGTCATATGAGCGCGCGGGACACACCTAATATTTTCAGTGGGTAGGAAATTTTGAATTTTGCCCGGGTGGCGGCCGAAGCCTCCTCTTATCGATTTTAGACAACCAAGGGATCTTTAACGTGCGCAACTTGCACACGGGCCCTCCGAGATTTTTCGCCCTTGCCCGAGAAGGCTAGGTGTAGATTTTTCCTACCAGAAGATCAGGGGTGTGGCTGAAAGACAGCAGTAAGAAGAAGTGAAGGAGTAGCAGTAGAAAGGCTGCAAAAAGAATCAGGAGCCCAGAGGAAGGGGCAAAGGAGGTGAAGGGGTGGGGGGGGGCAGAAAGAGGAGACGAAAGCAGACGACAGAACATTGCTAGAGAGCAGGAAATGAGGTTAAAGGAGGTAAATTTAGAGAAGAAAATGTTTTGGTCGCTACCCGGATTCGAACCCAGGACATTTGAATGAGAGGCCAACACCTTAACCTCTAGGCCACGAGAGCCCCCTTTTCTAGTCTGACAGCAGAAAAGAAAACAATCATCAAAATTGTCATACAGAGCAAAGATGGAACAGGTAATGCAAAGAAATAAGAGATCACAATATCAAAGAGGTCAACAGAGGCATCTCTTATAGTCTTAACAAATAACAGAATTGTATTATTATGTTTATGTATGCAAGAATGCCATAATGTGTGAGAATGGGAAAGAGAGAGAATAAGGATGAGCATGGTCATAATCCTATAACTTCCCACACACTTGATCATTCACAGCTGCAACTAACAACCCTAAAGAAAACAGGGGGGGGGGGGGGGTTGCACACAATGTTAAAATGAATACCACTTACCTCTGATTTCAGGCCATATTTTATTTTTCCATGTGTCAATGAAAACAGCAGTCATCACACAAACACTCAGGAGGAAGAAAAATCGAGATGATGTTGTGCATATAAACCTGAGGAAAATAGCATGGACAACAACGTGGATACATCTTAAAACAATCTTACTACCGTAAGTGTCAATACCATAGATATACAGATCCATAAACGGCCTAATAAGTTGTTAACCAATTTGCACTTCAATGTGAACACTAAAATTCTTTGTATTTACCAATGTACACTATAGCAAAATAAAGTTGAGACTATTCTTATAATAGCTTTAAGTATAGATGGGAAGGACCTTTGTTAACCATCAGCGACATAGCCATGTCATATAAATTATTGTCAACATAGGATACAACATGCATTGAAGAGGTATAAAAAGTGATTTGAGAACAGTGAGAAAACAAATCAACAGAACAAATGCAATGATCTTGGTTAATGTTGTTTCTACGTTTATCTGACACCTATCATATCATGCACAGCCACACTGCATGCATGAAACCATAGTTTGATTTACAATAATACTGCTTCTGGAGTAAAAATAACTCACCAGTTTCATCCCAGATGCACCATCTTCCTCCTACAATTGAGGGTTTTATATTTACTATTTTGTTATTTGTGGTTTTAAAGGTTTCATCATAATATAATGATGATTTTTATTTGATGCGCCTGACCTGTATTTATTAAAAATAAAAATCTAATACAAACAACATTTTGGGACTGGAACAGCCAATAGAACTGACCAGATCTGGGCATGTGTCAACTTGTCACTCTTATTGACAAGTCGCAAGGTGAATGTAATGTTATTTTCATACTATCCTTCATCACCTTTGAAAGAGCTTAGCAGAAGAAACTGAAGACTGGCGTAAAGCTAAAATGGGCACCTGAATAACCGGGATTTACTAGAAGCAAGACACAATGTTATTTATTATAAATCTTAGGTATCAAGGTTGATTACAATGGTGTATCGGTGCCTGTCTACTGCAATGTGTCTGATCTACTTGATGGTCTATCACCAGATCAGTCTGATAACTATTCCACTTGACAGTTTTCTAATCTACTGCAATCCACATTTCTTAATATTTTCACTTGGAGGTTTGGGACTCATTAGCCATATTTTGTCTAAAGGGGAGTGGGAGTTCCAATTTCTTGAAAGTAGTGCATCAGGGTGCGGGAGTAACAGTACAAAAATGTAATTACCCTGCACAGGCCTTACAGTAGAATGCATTATATTGTGGTGGACTGTGGTCAGTCAGGTGGGACACATAGTAGACCACATTATCGCAGAAGACCAAAAGTGACCAGCACAAAATTGTTACTATCACTACCGTATGCAGTTGCACTGCTGCTAAAGGGCATACCAATGCATTTTTGACAGCCGAACATTATATATATATATATATATATATATATATATATATATATAGCGCTAATGAAACTGTCATAAATTGAAGTTGATGATTTTCAATACATCTCAAAATATCAAAAGGGTGCGGTGGCAGAGCGGTTAGAGTGCTCGTTTCCGAAGCGGAAAGTTCGGGTTTGAGCATCAGTTCGGTCACAGATTTTTTTCGCCTCCTCCTGCCCATTCAGCAGTAATGGGTACCTAACTTCGAGTTGGGGAAATAAAGGCGGCGTGGAAAGAAACTGGCCACCCTACCACAATATGCTGAAGGCCCAGGAAGTTGTCTCACTAACAAGGCAATCCCCAATGTCCGGATCGGATGAGGGAACAACTAAACTTTACTTTACGGCTGGCATTATTCACACCCGTCACCTGGTCTGAGAATACAACAATGGGACTACCGTATCGCACTGTAGTGTTGTTCTTTCATTTTCAACCAAGGCTACCGCACAATGAGCGATTTAGAGGACGATTTTGCTGAAACCAGAGAGGAAAAAATTCCAGAAGAAAAAGTGTATTTATATAGGCCAATGTGATTTCTGTTGAATGTCATTTGAACCCGTGTCAGCTGTGCTTTGAGGCTCAGTAAGGGATTTGTTTGAAAGACAAAGTTTGGGATGCTGCTTGGGGGCGAAAAAACATTTTTTCAAAGACTGTTTTCTTGTGAGTTAGATCTAGATCTAGATCATTAAGGGAAGACCCGGTTAGGCGATCCCAGACAATATGGATAAAATTTTGTTAAACTATCCAACTTTTGTTTTTTGGGGAAAAACATCCTTTGACATCCGTTCTATCGGGTCACAATGAAGAAACTGTTGAAAAAAGACCCTAAATGATCTAAAAGGGCGTTTGAAAAGTGCAAATGGCATTAAAAACCCTTTTTAAAATCCCTGGTTTTTCTGCTTTTCTCAAAATCTACTTTTTGACATATCTGACCTCCTTAGTGCGAGGAGTTTCCAAAAACTACTGAAGCTAGAAGCTTTAAATTTGGCGTACAGGTGCTTCAAGATCTATTCTGGGGATCTGTGCAAGGGAATTGGGAAATATTGGTCACTTGTGGAAATATTCAAATTTTTAAAAATATGTACCCCAAAATTTCGACAACTGGCGTTAAGTTGTCGTACTCTAATTATCAGCTTGTAGGGTAGAGTCGACTTCTAATAAAATAATGCCAAAATGATTTTAATGAAAGGAGTCGACTCTCAACTAATCACTTCGAATAAACAATTCATACCTTCACCTGAGCCTGACACAAGACTGACAGTAAAAATAAAGGCCAGCTCTATTTCTCCGAACGTTGGGGAAAATAAACCTGAACTCTATTTCTCCGAACGGTTTCCGTTCTCGAGATTTTAATAATGGAGTGGCACGCGCTCGCGCGCGTGTGTATGTGTGCGTGAGAGAGAGTGAGTGTGCGTGTGAGAGAGTGTGTGCGCGTGTGTTTTTTGGGGGGGTTTTTGGTCCCACGTGTGTGTTTTAGGTGTGAACGGAAGGCCGGCGTATGCGTAGAGGGATTTTTTGTGATACAGTTTTTGCTTTAGGGGCCACTAAATGCAAAATAGGTACTGCCAAAGTCAAGCAGTCTTGTTTTCTCACAGCACCTTTTGAAGGCATTTTCAAATGAAGTATAGTCCGGGAACTTTGCCCCAACCACAATTGAAGTAGACTCTATCTGAATATTCAGACATTTTTTAAAATCTCCAGCTCTAGAAATTGAATTTATAATGCAAAAAATGTTTCTTCCCAGTCCTCGCAGAATGGCAGAATGAAAGATGACCCCGCACTTTCGCTAATAATAAAAATATCTCGAAAACGGAAACTGTTCGGAGAAATAAGACAAGAGTTCAAGTTTATTTTCGCGAACGTTCGGAGAAATAGTCACTTCGACGAAAAATAAAAGACAAAAAGTACTCTCCCTGTTATCAATTATTTGATAAAAAGTGCTCTTTCTATTTCTAGTCTTTTATTCTCCATTTTCGATTCTACTAAGCTTTAAATTCTGCGGACTCCACCAACTCGAGTCTGAATGTTGTGGTGAATAAAATACACCCCCCCCCCCTTAACCATCATTCTGCGGGGGCCGGGTTTATGTTGCCCGATAACCTATTTCGGCACCTCGCCTTCATTCTAGTCCCGAATCAGTGTAGCCCCTGGCTCAGCGCACGCGCACCGCGCATCATCTTACGTGAAATTCAGACAAGTCCCAAGTCGGATCCCCATTCACGAAGGTCACGTGTGTATCCATCAGTCTGCTTGAGTTTGAGTGCGTTTGTGGCCTTCTTCTAGAAACGCCTGCAGTGGTTCGTAATCGAGGCATACGTCTCGTTCAAAACACGCCAAGTTGGTAGCTCTAGATGTTCGTCCAATGAAATTATAGAAGAAATTGACCCACTTTTAGACATGAGGAGCTCGAAAGGATAGTCAGGAAACAAGACTTCCATTTTTCTATACAAAATCTTTCAAATGAGCTTGATTTCGTATGAAATGATACTAGATTCTACCTGATAAAAAAGAAGCTTGTTTGATAGTTTTGAATACCATTATATGCAGGTACAAAGAACAATTTGAGTGCAAAACATTCGGAAATTGACCTACAGATATATCACCTTCGTATTCGGACTCGAGTCCGAATATGAAAAAATGTTATTCGGACTCTGATTCTTGTCCAGCATGACATCACTTTCGATTTCCTGTGACTCGTGACTCCGGCTTCCTGTCCTGCTTCACTCGTGACTCGCCTCAGGCTGGGTAGAGACCGGGATTACTTCGGGCAAAAAGGCGCTTTGTGCAGGAGCCGAGTTGTTTTATCTTATGATGAATTTGAGGCCGGCCTGAAAAGTTATAGCGCTTCTAATAAATGCTTATTTGTCAACAGGTCATCAGAAGCAATTAAAGATGGCTCGTTAGCGTGTGTCGGGGTCGGATGGGCGGCCTGCACACGTGTGGCTTTTTTTTTTTTGGGGGGGGGGGGGGGGGGGGCACTATCGGTCCGGGCGTTGAACGTCGCATACGCGTCAGTCTTTTTCCCCCTAGCAACTGATCATTATTACTAATATTACAATAATAAGCTAATCTTGACGTAGATCTACGTAATGAATTGTGCGCTGGTCTATGGAATCAAAAGTTGCCGTATGCTCAGCTCTACACAGCAACACAACTTTTTCTTGGTAAACAATCGAGATGACACAGGCTTGTGTATTTGAACGAATCGGTCTTTTTTTTTTAACACAGCTCATAATATGCAGGTGCCAGGTGGTCTGCTAATCTTCAATTTTACCCTTTTCTACAACAAAGAAAGTGGGAAACATGGGGAGGTGGGGTGGGGGGGGGGCGTATCAATGAGGCGGCGGGCATTGGATCGGCAGAAAAGGTGTGGGGGAAATTTTAAAATGGCGGAAAATTGGAAGCACTGAACGTTAGATCTATAGAACGAAGACACTTCCTTTTTTCCGGACCCGAGTCCGAATAACATTTTTTTCATATTCGGACTCGAGTCCGAATAAGAATTTTTTTTATTCGGACTCGAGTCCGAGTATGAAAAAATGTTATTCGGACTCGAGTCCGAATAACGACGGCCTATCACCTTTCGAACCTCAGGTCGTTAACAACAAGAGTGTCTAGAGTCTAGAAAGATTATTCGAATGTGCGTAACCACTCGTAATGTCTTATCAGCTTGTGAGAGGGGGTTATTCATGTGTTTGTAACACTTCATAAATAGAAAGCTATGAAGAAAGAGCGTTATTTTCATAATCGATTAACACACTTCCACTGGCCCACTGTTTTCACGTCGAAAACACACGTTTCCCGGCGCGCGCGCGCTATACACCAACAGTACACACTGAGTGACCCCGGCGGCCTGCCCAGCACGTCCGACGTAATCAATTGCTGATAAGATTCGCATCTCAGCACAGACGCAGGACGAGAGACCCAAGAGTTAATCTGCCCTTATTAAAAACTCCCCTTTTCTCTGGGTTTGCAATGGTACAAAAGCAAGAGTTCAAGAATATGATTTATACAAATTTTTGTGTGGTTTTACGTAGATCTTTGACATGACAACAAACTACTCTGCTGACTGACTCTAGATTTAGTACTCTAGTACAGACTTGTTGACTTACCAAAATAAAATATGCACAAAGGCAAAGAGTACTGCACTTTTCCATGGACATTCCCACACAAGAAGACTCTGCACCGTCATTATGAGGGGTTCATAGGGGCTGAGGAATGAGTTCACTTTTCTTTCCATTGACTTCGTATCCCCTCCCCCGCCACTGTCGTGGACGTTTGACATCTTAAAAATCGGATCAAACCAACGCTTCTGACTAAAGATTGACGAGGAAGTAGAAATAAGTAAACAAAATCAGCTGCGTTTCAGATGTTGTGACATCAAACAAATTCAGGTCATTCATTACATTCTTCAGACACTAGAGTTTATTATTGTTTACATGTGGATACTGCATTGTGGGTGATTAAAATCGTTTTTGAAAATAGATTAAACAGTTAATTCTTGATAAATTTTGTCTTAATAGTCATTAGAAATAAATTTCACAAAAAAATATAATCAAAAGCTTCATTTTTCTCTTAAAAATATCAGAAATTTTCATTTAGACATGCGCACGGAACATTATTACTTCTTGTGCGCATGTGCTACAGGGGGGTTTCCTGATGCATTCATTCTCAATGTTTGGCGCCCTTCTAAAATCAAATGCCATAGCTCGTTGAATTAGCTCATTTGACCTAGCACAATTTTGTTGTTTTGAAATTCAATGCCATATTTTTTGTAGGCTTAGATAGCTAAGATTTTTTTTATAGAATTTATATTTCAGACTATTTAAATGATATAGAAATCACTAGCGCAAATAAATATAGAGTCTATGTCAGTGAATTTCTTGAACTCTTGTTTTATTGCTGCGACAGTTTTGCGACATGCTATTCCCGTCTCATTGATTTTTGACTGAGTGCGGTAGTTTCCAAAGACGCTTTTCTGAAACGAATCCCTTTCTGAAATCCCAAAACTCAGGTTCAAGAATAAAGATGCCTAGGGAAATAATAACGTTGCAGCTAGGACAATGTGGAAATCAGAGTAAGTACTAAGTACTGAATATTTTATCAGTGCAGTTTCATGTGCACAATATTCAAAATCTAGATATATCTAGAATCTAGAATCTAGTCTAGATTCGGCCTCTTTGAACATTTAGCAGAGCACCACAACAATAATCATAATAATGACAAGGCCAGAATAGTGCAGGCGGGTCTTGTGGCTATTCTCACCCGGTGCGCATGTCAACAAATTTTGCGTTCACCCTAAACCACAGAATTCTACACTGTGATAAGAGAAAAATTGTAGAATTCTGTGCTGTGAACAAACGTTCCATTACAACTGTACTTGTAGCCTACTAAAAGCGTACAATTTTGTCTGTGGGCAGGGGAGAGAGAGAGAGTGAGAGAGAGAACAAAACAAAATGGCGACCCGCGTAGTTCGGCTCGATTCGAAAAGTTAAATAGCCGTAGCATCTTTGTAGACAACCAAATTAATTTACTTTTGTGTTTTAACATCATTTTTTAACTTTGTTTTGGTCAATTTGATCGTCCACACCGATAGACAGTATTCAGAAAGAGACAGAGAGAGAGAGAGAGAAGAGGGGAGGAGTAGATCTTGCGAGAACTTCCGGGCAGGTGAGAATAGCCACTTTCTAATGACAATGACAATCTTTATTCATCTCGAAGGGAGAAATTTGTGTTGGTCATTAACAATGGCAGTAGACGTTGCAAAAGTTAGACTTAAAGGTGCACTCACGCAAACGCACAACAAGACAGGACATTAGGCCAAGTAAATACATGTCTCACGGGCTGGGACAACCCGCTCCGTTACAAATAACTCCTCTCTCTCTCTCTCTCTCTCTCTCTCTCTCTCTCTCTCTCTCTCTCTCTCTTTCATTTACAAGCAGAGCCGATGTAAACACGACCTTGTCGCCGCAGGAGCAGCGCCAAAACAAAAACAAAAAAGAATCTAGATCTAGCGATTATAATTAGATAATAATGGCGACGTCTTTCCTTTCTAGATAATCGTTTCTTTCTTCCCTCTCCCCTCTCTAGATCTAGATCTAGATCTAGATCTATCCCCATTTCCCGCATCCTAATAATTGCATGGTGTTCTAGTTCTGCTGTCTCCCTGTCTTCCTCATCCCCCAACGTTTCCTCCAGCCTCCAGGCCCAGGGTCTTCAACTTCAACACTTCTCCTTTGTCAAATTTCACCTCACCATCAACCACAGCGCTGCTTGCCAGCCTATCAGTCTCATTGCCCTTCACTTTCACTCCAGAGTGCTCCAGACAGAATATTGTTGCCTTGGTTCAAGTTCTAAGGGTCTGCTGGGGCAACAATGGTTGTGATTTTTAAGAAAGCGCATAGAAGCAGCTATAGATCCTGTATTGTATAGCAATAGCATGCTTTGGATGGAGTATGAATAGCACTGTCTGTATAAATGCAGTCATTATTAGTAAGTTTGGTAAGATTGAACTTTGGTGGACCCACCATTGAGGGGGGGGCGGAACTACTTTTGGGCGTTGTGTGATGCCATGCGCTGGTCCACTGTTCTTCCTTGGCCGCAGCGCGGCCTTGCGGCCGCCACGGCGCGCTCTCTCTCCTCTCCCTCTCTTGCCTGTATCCTCTCACTTCGGGCTCATTTAGTCAACTGAAAGTTTCTACCGGATTTTTCCACCGCAAAGCCCGTGAGTTGGCGCGAGTGGCTAGACCCAAGCGTTGATTGGTCAATCTAGTCACGGCATGGCACCACCTCCACCATGTCTCCCCCTCTCTTCACTGGTCCGGTAAACTTCACCCGCGCATCTATCATGGTATCTAATGCCTAGCCTTGGCTGGCAATGTGGGTCCACTAAAGTTCTTGGGCAGAACCAACTATTTAAAATGTTCCTGGTCCCCTTTTCTTTTCTCTGTCTATTATTGATTTGCATTATGTGTGTTTTCTCAATTATCATTGTGGCCAGGGGGGCAGGCCCCCCTGAAACCCCCCCACCTCCCATCCACCCTCCGCTGTCGAATACTATAAGTTTTCGTAACCAAAGTGCTGAAGGTGCGGTCCACCAAACGTAAGCCATCCTCCAAGTGTTTTCTTAATTAACATTGAGACCAGGGGGGCTGGCCCCCCTGAACCCCCCCGCTGTCGACGTAATCAAAGCGTAGCGGTCGATTAGGACCCATGACTGTACAGTCCGTTGTTTGCCTAGTGCGTATTAATAATATAAACACGGTGGGTCCACCAAAGTTCAATCCAGCCGTAAGTTTTTTTAAGTACGTATGTGATAATGTGGCAGGGACGGCTCGTCTGTCTAAAAAGTGGGCGTGCACAATTCAGCAATATTAGATTGAAGATAGTTAAGGGCATAGTAAATGAGATGGTGTATAATTTTAGGAACTTTGGGTTGGTGAGGGAGAATGGTGTGATTCTATTTTCATTCTTTTTACTTGTGACTTTGACTTCTAGAACTAAATCTGTTTGTTAGCTAAACGTCAATTTCATTCATCCTGCATTAGAACTGAACACTTGGGTAATACCTTTCACCACGCCACTACAAAACCGTTCAAAAGCACAACTCATAGGACGATGACTTAAGTATGTCACATTCACCTCCCTCAGGTTCACGGTCACAGAGTCACTTAAAATAGCGGCAAGATAATGAACCAATCACAATTCACTTGAGCACTCCGCTGGATTGCTCCGGGGCTTCAATAATTTTGGCATAGAATAGTACACAGTCTAGCGCGTTTATTTTTAGATTTCCTACTGTGGGCTATGTTTCGGCACTATTCGGCAGGAGCACATTTCAGATGTGCCGTCTTATTAATATTAATGTACCGCCAAACTCTCTACGAGTGTCGTCATCGATTTGGTTATCCAAAGAGCGATTTATAGGTCAGGTTTCCACTGTTGAATATCCTGCTATATTTTGATACTGCGCATGAACTTTGGCATGGCATAGTAGATGTTTTACGGCGCTATAGACACAGAAATGACAGTTACGGCGCCAGTGAGAAAAACGTCTTTTGATATAATGTTTGGGTAGTGTTTGTTTCTGGCTTCTTTTATTTATATTTATATATTGTAGGTGTTTTACGTAATAGAACATTAAAACATTTTTGAGCAACACTGCACGACCGTGCTCTATGGACGAACCTCGCCTGATATGTGGACATGTTCTTATTAATACATCACAACATGTATTTTTTACAGATATCAGTGAAGTCATCACATACCTCCAGTGATCTTGTCACATAGGTTGGGGCAAATCGGCCCCGGGGCAACTTCAACGCCACCTCAACGTAGACTTGGCTTTTGCGTATCATTTGGCCCATGTGTCGTTGCACATTTGATATCTTTCTAGAAATAAAATCTGTGCTTCCTGGGATTCCACTTGTTTCTACTATTTTTAGTCAAAAAGCTCCAGAAAACTCCATCTCCGCGTACTTTTCACTCTTAAAGCTGGTGCGAATTCGACAGGGTGAAAAGGGCTAACTTCGACAGGGGGTGAAGCAAAAGTTAGGCCTTCTATCAGGTTAAATGATTGGAAGGGAAAAAAAGCTCAGAAAAGGAGGAAGACAGACACACAATGGTAAATTGATAGAAAAGTGCCGTCCACTGTTATTTGGATACTTTTTTTCCGGTAAACTTGCCACACGTTTTTCAGCTGTGACGACTTCACCGTGTGACAAGTTCACTGACCTTCCCGTATTTTACACACCACAACATTTTGCAAATTCTTGACTCCGACTTTTATGTTTGTATAATTATGATTATAAAATTCAAGTTCTAATAGCACCATTTATAATTTTGTCTCTAACTCTAAGGTATCTAATAAAAGGGAGGGTGGACAAGTGGTTAAAAATTAATAAACGGGGGTTTGGAAAAAAGGTGGAGGGGGTGGTGGCACTTCCAACCTTATAACCCTGTACTAGTAGGAACAAATCTGTTTTATTTCTCATTCAGTGAATAAAAGAACAAGAGATTGTGAAATTTTAATGATTTTAGAAAGTTACTGTGACTACTTTTCCCATTTAGGAACCGTTTCATTAAAAAAATATAAACCAATGTTGGGAAGTTTTAAAAATGCCTTGAAAATTGAGGTGCCCATCCTGATACTGGTACTAATACTGAGGGTAATTTGCCATTTACCAAAAAAATAAGAAGTTTCATTCAGTTATCTAGATTCTAGATATAATGTTTCACATGATCGTCAGTCGTGGCAAGCTGGAAAATAATAAGGAGCAGGGGTAGGGGTGCACAAAAAAACTGAAAATCGATAAGCAGGGGGTGGGGGGCTTATTCGATACATTTTAGAGTAACGAAGGTTTAGGTATGCTACTGTTTCGGAGTAAAAGAACCTAATTTTGAGATACTATTCTTGGGAAGAGGTCTGCACACTGTCATTATAACATTTACTGGATCACTGTTTAAACTACAAGGATACATTATATTGAAGTTGAAGAAAACAAATATATATGTATAGTTGAACCTGTCCAAGGCAGCCACCAATTGCTGAGGAAAAAAGTTGATCTCTTGACAGTGTCATTTTATGCAAAAAAAACACAAGGGTGGATGTTGTCGTTTGTACAGACGATTGTCTTGGACTGGTGTTCATCTTAAACAGGTTTGACTGTACAAGAGGTAATACTATATTTTAAGATCTTGCTTCATTTATGTAATCGTTTTGATTTGAAGTAAAACTTGTTTCATTTCAGTTGGCATGGAATTTTGGAAGCAGCTCTGTTTAGAGCATGGAATAAGTCCAGGTGAGCTGCACTTGACTTACTTTGGGGGCGTTTTTGTTGATTTAGAAGACAGAATTTTTATGAGTGAATGTGAATGTTGTGTATGAGCCTGAGGAGATGGGCCCAGTGCTAAATTCAGGGCTAAAGAATGCAGAACATGGAGCAACAAATGAGGTGTAAGAAAGAAAAATGCTGGTTTTTACTTTAACAAAGCTATATATGCTTGCATGTCTTAAATAGAGAAAAAAAAAAGAAAGAAGAATGAGATGATGATATTACAAAAAAGCTTTGGGCTGAAAAATATTGTCAATGAGACCTGCACTTGCATAAAATGTCGGTGCACCGTTAGACATTATCTAAGTTTTATGTCCTTGCTTTGAAATTTAACAGAGAACATGCTGGGCAAACTTTAAAAATGTCCCATTGTTTCCTCTTTTTCATCAAGTAGGCTTACTACACACAGAGTAGAAAACACTCTTACTTTTAAGGAGTGTGTTAGTCGCTGTCTGGTAGATTTTGTGAAAATCTCAAAATTTTTCATATGGCAAGTTAAGGGCCAATGACAATTTCAAAAATATTTCAGGCACTTGGCTTTAAACCTGAATCAAGAGTCAAATTTGATTTGCCACAACATGCTGATCAGGAAAATTGTCTTCATGAAATGAAAGTCTTTTGCCTTCTCTAGTTTTCCAGTGGGAGCTAGAATGTCTGAGAAACTGCATTTGTGATTTTGTCTCTTCCTAATTGTTTTTAATTAAGTGTGTAGACCACTCTGGCTTCTAAGATTTGAAACTCATATTTTGGTTGTCTTTGAGACTTTTCTGTTTTTCAGAATGTTTACCTTGCATTTTGTTTTCTTTATTTCTAAGACCCCATACGATATGGCTACTGCAAAGAAATATTTGTATAGAGTTTTATCTGGTGTTGACTTTGTGGTTGTTTTATCTTGTGTTGACTTTGTGGTTTTATTACTTTAAGATGTTTGTGTGTTATTTGATGTTGACTTTGTGGTTTTATTACTTCAGGATGTTTTTTGTGTCTTTTCTTTTTCAGATGGCATCTTAGAAGACTATGCCACTGAGGGCACTGATCGGAAAGATGTATTCTTCTATCAGGTATTGAAGTTGACAAAAGTATTTTTAAAAATCATGGGAAATTTGGTTTAAAAATTACTTTTGAAAATCAAACTTTGATGTTTGTCAGTGTCTTAATGTTGTAACTAAAACTTTGACTATATTAATGCTTCTCCATATTAGACTTTTATGTCTGAATTATATTGATGTATTTTAATATCACTCTCATGTGATCAAGTCCCTTTTAATTACTCTTGTCTCGCTTTTTAAGGACTGGTGCTGGTATTTTTTAAATATATTTTTCACATAAATCTGGCCTCAGGTACACCTCAGAAAGATGAGGAAATAACTTTTCAAATAAAAATTTGAAACGTTACTTCTATTCATCTCTTTTGAGGGTGAGATTTATATGGTGATAACAATGAAGAAGTATCCAGCCTGAGTGCAATTCTAGGGCAGCTACAACTAGTCTACAGTGTAAACATTAGTCCCATGAACAGTTATGACAATCAGCTCTAAACCAGTCTTGACTTACCAAAATAAGTATTTCACGATGCAACTTTGACTAAACAGGATTGTGTCTGGAGTTGAACTTTAATCTAGGCATAGAGACAAGACATGTTTTAAATAATTGAATCACTTCAAAATGCAAAATTTAGTACCTTTCACATTGCTTTGTTTTGCCCTCCGATATTCCTGTCAGCTTTGCTCTGATTTGAAGTCTTGTCTTATTACAGAAGCAGTAGACACTCCAGTGGTGCTGGTAGGCAAACAAGCCAGCCTTTGGGAACCCTAGCATTGCTCGAAATACTTTGTGTTATCTTATCTGCCTACTCGTGTAATAGTGTGCACAACCGATTGATAAACGCCTCAGGACTATAAAATTGACATCAATTTGCAAACCTCTCTACTCCTTACTGTGGGCCCTACACATGTGCACACACACACACACACCCAACAACAACAACAACAACAACAAATCCCACACATTCATGCTTGAACCAAATTACTTTGTCACCTCTGCCTGTCTCAAAACCTCCCGGGTATAGATGCACATTGCTTCCATTGTAAAGTGTACTCTTGCCGTATATAAATTGGGCCTCAGAACATTAAAACATAAGTTGTGGATATTTTTCATAGGCTGATGATGAGCATTACATCCCTCGATCTGTGTTGCTTGATTTGGAGCCGAGGGTGATCAATGCAATAATGAACTCTCCATATGCAAACTTGTACAACCCAGAGAATGTATACCTGTCAAAGCACGGAGGTGGTGCTGGAAACAACTGGGCCAGTGGCTATTCCCAGGTGATCACGTTTAATGTTTGGGGTTTTTTTATTGTTGTTTTTTTCCTAGTACTTTTGTTTGTTAACTTATGCTTTGTAGATGACTAAAGCTGCACATCTGTGTACGTCAGTGGATATTATACTTGCAATGGCAATCTATGTTAAGGTCTGATACTGAATGTTAAATTTGAATTGAAAACATTGTAAATAAATTTGAATGTTTAATGCCCCCATCATCGCAGTTTAGAACTTCAGATAGTGGGCTATACTTCAACCATTCCTGTCAGGGACAACCTTGGCTGAAAGGTATACAACATACCTCTAGACAGAAATACTTGATTTATTTTAAAACCTTGCCACTCAGAAATCAAATTCATGTTTTCCACATGCAATGACAAAGAACCTCACTTTTGCATCACAATGGCTAGTGGAAAGTTTCAGGTGATGGGTAAGCAACATTTAAGTAAGTTTACAATTTGCCACATTATGTACACATATTTCTCTTTCAGTTGTACCTTCTTTTTTGTTCTTCATAGCTTTCAGTGTTTACCTTTTTAATATCATGAAGTACCCCTTGCTGTTTACTATATACTTCATTTTTGTAGTAATTGTGTGTGCTGTGCAAAGAGTGAAAATAATATTTTTATACATGATTGTCTTTCACAGGCGGAACGGCTGTATGATGAAATATTTGACATCATAGATAGAGAAGCTGATGGCAGCGATAGCTTGGAGGTTGGCCTTCTTGATTTTTTTTTTTTTTAATTTTTGTGTGTGTGTGGCAATGTTTATCAAGAGTGAACGGCAAATCAACACTGCTATACTATGAATACATTTCAGCTTGCTTTTACCTTTTTACAGTGTTGTCATCCAGGAGTCATTAAGATAAGAAGATATTACTTTATTATCCCAGAGGGAAATTTTTCTTGGATGTACAGGACCATAAAAACACGTACATGTATACATAAAAAAATTAAATGATATATTGCTCTCATTAACCCCTTCAATGTCGCAGGTAAATAGGCTCCTGTGCAGGGGGAAATCCCAAGAACTAATGCTGCTCAGGGGTGACCCCACTCTACCTCCCATAACTTTTTTTTTTAATGAATATTTTCTCATAAATTTCTGCTTATACATTCTACATTGAACCATGTTTTTATTGATATAATTTTAGGGTGATTTCATTCCCAGGTGTAAAAGGTACAATAATAAAGAGGGAGGGAGGAGAATAGGTTTTAATGAAATTCAGATAGTATTTACAGTATTAAATTTTTCGCAACGCTGTGCTTGGAAAAGGCAACTGAACCTGACTTCCATTAGTGTATTGATGGTATGCTTTTAGGTAAAATATTTTTTTGTTTTGCTTGTCGAGTTATAAATGATAATTGTCTTTTTTAACTATTTTTGCAGGGTTTTGTTGTCTGCCATTCTATCGCAGGTGGAACTGGATCTGGCATGGGTTCTTACATTTTAGAAAGATTGAATGACAGGTTAGTACCTGGGAATTTGTGAAAGACATTCTAAACATGATGTCGTCATTTGTTCAATGTTTTGGGAGCTTTTCAGTTATTTCTTTATTTTATACAGGTTTGGGGGGGGGGGGTCCAGAAGGCGGGGACTTCTACTATTGAATTTGCTTTCGTTTGCATAATGATGTAACTGATGATATTTGTGTGACAAGTCAATTTCTATACTTGAATCATCATGTGATTGAGATTCTCATGTCTTTGATTTTTCTAGATTGTGTGTGTTACCATTTTTTGGAACATTTCTTTTGAATCAGTCAAGAAACAATTGTAAGATACTGATCCTCTTTCTCTACTTTGACCTGTGGCTGTAAATAAGAATATTCTTACCCTGTATTTTGGTATCTCTGTCTCAGGTTTCCAAAGAAGTTGACACAGACATACTCTGTATTTCCGAATGTGGATGAAATCTCTGATGTTGTTGTGCAGCCATACAATTCGTTGCTCACTTTAAAACGGCTCACACAGAATGCAGATTGCGTAGTAAGTATCGCTAACATTGTTTTGACTGTTTGGCGCTAGATCTAAAGTTTCCTACTTCATTTTGTGTATTCTAATTTTGTTGCTATGTTTCTTCCTTGCTGCAGGCATATTATTCATTATTTATATATTTATTGTAGTGGAGGCTCAGGGTTTTAATTCAGTGAACTTTCATTGACATCCATGGTACAGTATTATGTTGCCATGTTTGCTAGCTTGTCTGGTTTACGTGGGTGATTTTTGTAAAGGATGTCTCTACCACATTTTCTTTGACATGATTTTCTACTCATATCTTTAGCATCAAAGAGTAATCCAATGCAATGGAATTTCTTTCAGGTTGTGTTGGATAATACAGCTCTAAACAGAATAGCAGCTGACAGACTTCACATTGACACTCCAACATTTACACAAGTGAACCAGCTGGTGAGGACTAGTTATATAGACATAGAAATCAGAGACTGGTCGCCTGCTATGGACTTATCTCACTTATCAGCCCCCTGTCCTGAGATCCGAAAGTAAAGTCTCAAGTTTGTCAAAACTGAAGGTTTTTTTCATCTGATGTCTACCGTCTTTAAATGTAGTTGGTATATCTTTGTGTTAGTGGACAAGATATATTTCAGAGTCACAATACAATATGAGGGGGGAAGGGAGGGTTGTGTGCTCTGCTCTTCTTAACATAATTCTAAGTGCCTTCAAGATGGTGTTGTACTTTTTTTTATTGATTACACTGATTGAATTTATTATGAGAGGGACACTTGAACATGCAAAATGTTATAGCTGTGAAAGCCATAAAGGGTGGAATAAAAGTTTTTGTGGTTGGTGAAAATGTAGAGACAGGTCATGTCATTCGTTTTACAAATTATGGTGTCCATAATTTGTGTAACTCATTATATGACGTAATATATTTTAAGCCAACAGCAATGGGTTCCGAAGCATACACCATATGCAATTGTGAGCACTCATTTTATGAAGCGCTGTATATTTGTATTTCATGTTTGTTTTTGTTTGTTTGTTTTTTCATTTTGTCCTCAGGGTGATAAATGATTGTATAATTAAAACGTCAAAGTTACATTGTTCTTTTTTTTTTTTTCCGTAAAACCTCTACTAAAAAGAACAATGTAACTTTGATGTTTTAATTATACAAAGTAACCTTCCTTTCTTTCAGGTGTCAACTGTGATGGCTACTTCTACTACCACTCTCCGCTACCCTGGATATATGAACAATGATCTTATTGGTTTAATTGCCTCTTTAATTCCAACTCCTCGTCTTCACTTCCTGATGACTGGCTACACACCCCTCACAACAGATTACAAGGTGGGTTTGCCGAGAGAAATGAGTCAAGAATAATGTTAGGATAAGAGGCAGTACCTGATTTTTCCCAAGCCTTTCCTGTACACCTTGTAGCTTTTCTGTTTTGCTTCTTTTTTTTATTCTGGTGGGGTGAGGGAAACAATGTAGCATAGGGTTAACGTATAGAACCTCTTCCCTTCCACTGCCCCTTTCCTGTCATAACATGCTGAGTTCACTCTCCTTCCTCCACTGTCAGATACTGGTGAACATTTTGAAAATCAAAAGCATAACATGGTCCAACATGTCTAGCTGAACCTAACCTGTTGACCTTCATTGGTGTGAATGGTTTGTTGTTGTTGGTTGTTTTTTTTCCAAGGTCTCTTGTCTCAACTGCTTGGAAGAACAAGTTTTATAGTAGCATACACATTCTATTCCCACCCATATCAAATGAAAGCATACTCTTTCAGCATATCGCGACCTCGGTGCTTTCTTGTCCTATCTCCATTTTTAATAACAGTGAAAACAGTTCTGAGTTCATATCAAAGAGTGAGCTTAAGAAGTCACATTTTCAATGTTTAAAAAGATAGAGATAAAACAAGAAAGCACTGAGGTCGGGATATGTTCAATACTGAATTTTTCAATCTCATGGTCTGTTGCTGCTGTGCATTGGCCTTTGAACTTGAGTTCATGTATTGAGCTCATATTCATCCATATCTTGTCATTGTTCTGCTTTTAATTACTTTTTCTGTGACTGACATTCAGACCCTCTGGTTGTTAGGCTCCTACCAGATATTTTTAACACTCTGGGTTTGCAGAACCTGGGCTTCTGTTGGGAGGGGAAAACTCCAAATAGTCATTCAATCTTTGAGATGGTAAAGGTGACTCTAAGAGTTTAAAAAGATTGCTCATTGAAATTCATAATGATGTCAACAATATCCACACGTTTAACTGAACGGAAAAAAATGCATTATACTTTTTCAATGAAAAAAAGACATCAGAAGATATTTACCTTCTTCATTTTGATCAGTCCTGCCTAAGACGGCCACCTGTGCTATTCAGCCACTTTTTTTCATGACAATGGGTGGCCGTTTTACACAGGTTCGACTGTATATAGTGAATGTAGCATAGGACCAGGTGTAGATCTTGGAGTTGACGAAATCGGTACCCCCTAAATGCCACTGAAGTGGCAATCCATTGCAACGCAGAATCAAAAAGGCCACTTAAGTGAGGATCTGGATTTAAAGGGTCAATTCCCACACAGAAAGTTCTCCTTGATCTGCAAGTCTGTCAGTCCCAACAATTATCCTGCCCCCTTTCTGCCAGGCCCTTTTCCCTGTTGTCCGTTATTACTTTTGCATTACACTCCATAACAGAACCTTCTCTACTGTTTAAGACAACCACTTGTACGAACAGCCACGCACACACACACACTCGTGAACTGTTCAAGACGATCACCTTCCCGAGACAATTGCTGTTCTCCTTGACAGTGGACAGTTTGACTGTATATTTTCTTCGTGTTCCAGGTCGCAAACGTTCGAAAAACAACTGTGCTGGATGTGATGAGGAGATTGTTGCAACCCAAAAACATGATGGTGTCAACCCCTGTTCAGCGACAGAACAACAATCATTGCTACATCTCCATTTTGAACATCATTCAAGGGGAAGTGGATCCTACACAGGTAGCCCACATGCATACTTTTACCTTTTCATTATTCACATTCATTTGGGATATTTTTAATAAGATGTACGGGCACATTGCTACAATGTAATATAACAATTGGTCGCTTTTAAGCACAAGGGGGCTGTCCCGAAAAATGCTGTTTTGAAAAAATCGAAGGTAAAGTTTTTCCCCTTGTTCAGTTTCTTTAAAAAACAAAATTGTTCTCTTTAACCAAACAGATATACACACAAGTGAAACCAAATTTCTCCTATAGGTAGGGCAGTGCCCACTTTTGGTGAAGATCAAGATTTTTGGAAACCCTGAAATCTGGGTTAGCCCGCTTGTCCTTAAAAGTGACCAATTGTGAAAATTTATGAATTTTTTAAAAATTTATGGAGGTGCTCCGGTCATAAAGTAGTCTCACTGTTTTTAAAAATGCAATTCTCTTATGCTGTTCATGAAGACTATCACAGCTAGCTCACTCAATCGCTGACTCACTGTATCTCCTGTCTGAATACAGTGTGATTACTAGGAAGTTTAATAAAGTTTGTCTACTTTCTCAGGTACATAACTGGCCATTTAATCAGGTGCTAAGTGTCTATCTGCATGGTGACTTGCCATATTTTATCAAATAAATTTGTAGAAGATTTGTTTTGTCAATTAAGGCAGCATAAGGAAATACAGTCGAACCTGTGTAAGACGGAATCGCAAGGGAGCCAGAAAAAATTCCGTCTTAGACAGGGGGGAATTTAGAGGGAGAATGGTTCAAAGGCCCAGCTGGTGAGATCAAGGATCGCTTGTCCGATCGGTAAGCAATGGTCTAAACTTCACACCTCTCAACTGCTATCCTGTCAGATAATGACATGCTTCAGTCTTACAACCACTGCTTGCCTTTCATAGGACCACTGTTTGACCTATTAAAAACAGAAACGTTTGAATTTCTTCTTTGCTTCCACCCTTAGCCCCACCCACCGGTGTAACAAGCACAGTCAACCAATGCCACCCCTCACTGCCATCATGGTACCAATGATTCGAGGAGCTATTTTCTCAGCTGGCCATACGATCAGGGCGGCAGGCATTTGTCAATCTAATTTCACACCTCTGGCTTCTGGCTACCAAGGAAAGTTTCCGTACTGGTTCGCTTCTCAAGCACTCTCACGGACAGTCGTGAGATTTCACACCCACACTACCCTGACCATCAGCATTGCTCAGGGCTCACATGTTGGGGTAACATCTACCCCCAAATTGCACCCCTACTCCCCTTCCTTGCCCAGCGACATGGCCATGGTGATAAGTTTAGAGCCGGCGGAACCAAACTTGCGAGTTTTGTTTCAAATCAGGGCTGAGCGGGCAAAACATTTTCCGTTTTAGACAGGTAAAACCATCGGAAGGGAGCGGATTTTTCTTTCCGTTTCCGCGTTGGACAGGTTTCCGTTTTATGCAGGTAATTAAAGAGGAATATATCAAGGGGGGAGCGGGGAGATTCCGTTAAGACAGGTTTCCATTTTATACAGGTTTCCATTAAGGCAGGTTCGACTGTAATTGATATCTCTTCTCGACACAGTAACTGTACTTGTTCATTGCAGCTGAGCTGTCATGCTTACATGGTGGTCCTTACTCAAACTGCTCTAATGGTCACCTGTACAAACAATCTCTTCCCATTTCCTCTCTTGGATAGTTTTAGCATTATAATGACTGTGTATAAAGTTCACCTGTCTTAAACAACCACTTTTCCCCTCGACTATGGTGACCATCTTTGACAATTCCGACTGTATGTGAACTTCCTTCCTGTATATGAGACCATGAGCCCTGACTTTTACTCTTGAGCATCGCTTGACGGTAGAGCTGGAGTTTCCTGCATGGGCTTATTATGAAGCAATAAAAGACTCTAGCTCTCCTCATATGAGAGGCGTTGGCAGTTGAAGTTTTGTCTTTGTTGTTTAACATCCTGTCATCTCGTCCTCTTCCCTGTTAATAATAATAGATAGCATTTGTATATCGCAAATCCCCGCTCAACAGCAAGCTCTATGCGCTTCACAATCTATGCTATTACCCCAGCAGACCTGAGAGCATTCTGAAACAACCTCAACTTCCTTCGAAGAATACAGTGCAAGCAGCCATTTATAGGCGCTAAACACTAACCTACTGACAAGATCTTTCACTTTCTATGGCCGGGTACCCATTCCCACCTGGGTGAAGTGATTATATTTCGTGTTAAGTGTCTTTCCCAAGGACACAACGTCGGACCCGCGGCTCGAACCCCCGAACCTGCAACCTCACTATTACGAGTCCGGTAGCCTCATCACTAGGCCACCGACGCCACAAAACAGAAAGTAATAAAATTTATGCCCAACTAAAAAATGGCTTTTTTTTTCTATTTTGTCTTTGCAAAAAAAATTACTTGTTCATATGTGATGTATTTTAGGTCCACAAAAGTTTACAAAGAATCAGAGAGCGGAAATTGGCCCAGTTCATTCCGTGGGGTCCTGCCAGTATCCAAGTGGCATTGTCCCGCAAGTCTCCCTACGTACAGACAGCGCACAGAGTGAGCGGGCTCATGCTGGCTAATCACACAAATATTTCCCATGTAAGTTTCTCCCAATTTTCTGTGAAGTTTTTGTGTGCTGGAAAATGCAATTCTGTTCTTGTGGAACAAGTCACAGTAAGCTTATTCTTGTTTATAATAAAGTGGCCAATAGATGGTAACAGCAGTTATTGCTTGAAGATTACTTTATTTGATAATATTATAAGATACATTTTTGACTCACCTCAGTTTGGTCTAGGTAGGTGGATTAAAGTATGTAATGTATGGAAAGTGGAAGCTGAACAGTGTTGCTTCAAAGACAAAGACAATAAAAATTGATTGTTAACATGAACTCTAGATTTTGTCTTTTTTTGTGCTTTTGATTAACCTTGGACACGAGAATTATAATTCCTCTTTCATCCTACTTTATCATCAGCTATTTGAAAGAATACTGACGCAGTATGACAAACTGCGGAAAAGAGAGGCTTTCATGGACCAGTTCAAGAAGGAAGCCATGTTCAAAGATAATCTGGATGAATTTGATGCCTCTCGGGAATCTCTTCAACAACTGGTGGATGAGTACAACGCTGCCACTCGGCCAGATTATCTCACTTGGGGTACACAACAGGTCGGTAAACATTCATGACTCTGTTTTGCTTATATCATAAATTTATGTTTTGTTTGCCGGGGGGAGGGGGGGGGGGATGTCTCTAAGTCTCTGCAGAGGTATGAGGGCTGAAAGTCAACGGCTATATAAATGATGTATTACATGTCCCCTCTTTTTTTTTATCTTCTTTGTTTCTTAAAGCTACCCCCTTTTTTTTCTCTGTATCTCTCTAACTTAGATGTACCATGTAATATCTTACTTCCATGCACAAGCATCCAGCACCCTTGAAACGAACCTGTCTTTAACTGAACAATGATTTTGATAGTAATTTTACTTTTCAACAATTTCATAGACTTTGTTCTTGGTAAGGTAAATGTATCACCTGTTTGTAATATGATAGGAACTTTGCTACAAACAAGTTGGACTTAATTATGTCTTGTCTGCAGGCTGGAACTGAAAGAAGCTGAAGAAATATTCTGTTGATTTACACAACACGCAAGCTATGCATACTCCTGCCACCTGACTTGACAGCGCCTTGATGTGTATCTTTGTCTGGGAGCAACTACAAAAGGAGAGCTGTGGATACTCAGCCATATGGCTGATAGATTAGATGTCGCCAGCCCCTGGATAGATGTTAATATTAAAAGTTTAAATGATGGTTTTTTAAATTGCGTTATGGCAATAGAAATCATACATGCTCGAGTTTCACTGTTAAGAATAAGTTGTTCAAAATATTTCGCAAAAAATCCTTTCAATAAAAAGAATTCATAGTCAAATAAACTTGCCTTTCAGGTTGTGGGGTTTATAGCTTTTTGCTTACTACAAGTAAATAAATAGCTCTACTTGTAAATATTTATTCAACTCAAAATAGTTATATGTGATAATTTTTTTTTCCTGTTAAGGTAACTAGCAGTTTTTTGTTTGAAGTCAAATCATCTGAGATCAGAAGATCGGTTCTTGAGACTTTGTATTCGCCACTGCACAAGAATCTCACACGATATGATCTGCTTGATTTGTTTATTTTGTTTTGTTGGGTTTTTTTCATTTTCAAATGATGGGAAAGAAAGATATATAGGTAGACCAGTTATTGTCCAAAATGGTCACCCAATGTCAGGGAGAAAGTGTTTGTTGTCTTAGACAGGTGAATGCCTTTGACAGTATCACTATAATGTAGAAAAAACTCAAGAGGGGTAGTTGCAGTTTGTACAGATGATTGTCTTCTTAAGACAAGTGGCCGTTACATTAGATTCGACAGTACTTTATTTGTAACTCTCTATCTTTTTGGGGTTTCAAAATGAAGGGTCTGTATTTCTCATTTTGAGAGGTGCAGCAAAGAACTTTGTGAGTTAGTTGTCAGTTTTACCCACCGCCAGATGAGAGCTTGTAGTCAAAATCTATTTATTGAATTTCTGGTCAGCGTTGACCCTTTGCACCACCCCTTTCTGTACTGATAAAGAAGATAAAAATATATAGGACCCAAGTCTCTAGATCCTGAAGCTTTCACACAGCACTAGTACACTGGTTAAGAGGGTGCACTATGGGTTCACAGAACTTTGTTATACTGAAGTAATTGTGGAATTAATTATAAAGAGTGTCGTTTATATAAAGATCTCCCACCTTAAGCCTGTCTGGTATTGAAAATGAGTGTCTGTGATATCAGTGTATGGAGTTTTGAGTTCAACAGGTAATAGAGGATCAGGTGCCTTGCCTGTACTTGAGTCTCTTGTTCATGTTCAACATTTTTTGCTTTTCTGTATTTTCTTGGCCCATATATGTCAAAGAGCCCCTGGAAAAGGCAAAATAAAGGTGTGGCCATAATATTGAAATACAGCCTAACCATAATATGTAAACTTTTTTCATATATACTATATCATGTTGAATGCTTTTTTTTCTTTTTAAATCATAAAGTTTCAAACATGAGGTTGATCTATTTATTGCTGTAAAAAGTGCAGCAATTTTTTTCTGTAAAAGCATCTTTGTTTCCATAAATAATTATGTGTACATTACTATTACGTTTAATTGACAAGGGATTGTCAAATGTTGTGACTGTGTTGGACACGTGTTGCAAGTATTTGAAATGACAATTGATGTCCTTTCTTGCTTAGTCACGACTCTGGTTTGATGTCATCATCATCAATGCCTTTCACCCCTGGCAGGGTATAGGCCACATACAGGCTTCTTCCATTTATCTCTGTCCTGAGCCATCCTTCCAAGCTCGTTCCAAGTGAGCTTCATTTCTCTCATGTCCCTTTCCACGCATCTCCTCCATGTTTCCCGTGGCCTACCCCTGCCTGGTGCTCCCTGGGGGTTCCACTGCAGTGACTGTCTTGTGATGTTTCCGCTGGGCTTTCTTAAGGTGTGCCCCATCCATCGCCACTTTCTTAGTCCTATTTCTACTTCTATATCCTTTTGTCCTGTCATTTCCCACAGCTCTTCATTTCTTATTCTATCCTGCCACTTAATTCTTAAAATACTCCTCATACATCTGTTGATGAAAGTCTGGACCTTATTCAGTACTGTCTTCGTTGTCTTCCAAGTTTCGCAGCCGTAGAGGAGCACAGACTTGACGTTGGAGTTAAAAAGTCGAATCTTGGTGCACAGTGAGATGTTGCTTGCTTTCCAGACTTTTGATAATTGCTTGAAGGCTGACCTTGCCTTGGCGGTTCTTGCTTTAACATCTGCCTCGGTTCCACCTTTACCATTGATGACACTTCCAAGGTAGGTAAAGGAGTCCACTTCTTCAAGGGGAGTGTCTTCCACTGTCACAGCAAGGTTTGAAACTTTTCCTAGCTTCACTACTTTTGACTTGCCTGGATGTATACGTAGGCCAACACTCCTTGATAGGCTGTTGAGTTCCTTGGTCTTTTCTTGCATCTGAGCATGTGTGTGAGAGAGCAGTGCAAGGTCATCGGCGAAGTCCAAGTCGTCCAGCTGCTGCCAAGGGATCCATTGTATTCCATTACGTTTGCCTCTGGTGGCTTCTTTCATGATCCAGTCAATTGCCAGTATGAAGAGAAAAGGTGAGAGCAAGCATCCTTGTCGCACTCCTGTCTGTACCCGGAATGGTTCTGAGAGTTGTCCTTCGTGGAAGACTTGGCAGCTTATTCCATCATAGGTGGCCTTCACAAGCTTGACGATTTTCTCAGGTATTCCAAAATGCCGCATGAGTTTCCACAGAGTTTCCCTGTCCACGCTGTCAAACGCCTTTTCATAGTCAATGAAGTTGACCACGAGTGGTGAATTCCATTCAAGCGATTGCTCAACAATGATACATAGAGTAGCGATCTGGTCCACACATGATCGGTTTTTGCGGAATCCTGCCTGGTTTCCTCGAAGCTTCTCATCCGTTGCCAGCTTGATTCTGTTGAAGACTTTCCCAGGTATGGAAAGGAGTGTAATGCCTCTGTAGTTGTTACAGTTGCTGAGGTCTCCTTTCTTTAGCAGCTTGATTAGGTGGCCTTCCTTCCAGTCTGATGGTATTTCCTCCTTTTGCCAAACTTTTTCAAATAGAGCATATAGAAATTCCACAAACGTATCTTTCTCTGCTTTAAGGGCTTCCGGTGGTATATGGTCGGGACCAGCTGCCTTGTGGGACTTCAGTGTTTTTATAGCGGCTGCAATTTCCTCTCTTGAAGGTGGTTCCGTGTCTATTGGGAGGTCATTTCTGGCTGGAAGAATTTCTGGTTGGTTTTCTGGAGGTGGTCTGTTCAGTAGTTGATCAAAGTGTTCTCTCCATCGGTTAAGTTGCCCCTCTGGGTTGAAGATAGTCTTTCCTTCTTTGTCTTTCACTGGTAGAGTGGGCTTGCTGAACCTACCTGAAAGAGTTCTTGTAGTCTGGTGTACAATCCTGAAGTGCCCGTCTGTTGCTGCTTTCTCTGCCTTTTCAGCCAAGCCATTCAGGTAGGTATTCTTGTCCTTCTTGATGGAATTCTTTACCTCCCGGTTTACTTCGGTGTACTCTTGTTGTGCAGCGAGTTTCTCAGTTCGGGTGCGGTTGTTGTTGACTTGGGCCTTCAGCTCTCTTCTTCTTTTGACTTTGTCTAGAGAATCCTGTGAAATCCATTCGTTCCTGGTGTTGTCTTTGGGTCCTAGGGTGCTCTGGCAAGTTGCATTTACTGCCTCTCTTAACTTATCCCAGTGTTCGTTGACTTCACATTCTTCCAGATCTTGAAGGGCTTGAAATCTGTTCTTCAGTTCCAACTTGAACTCATTCTTCTTTACTGGGTCTTTCAGAAGGCTAACTTCATACTTTAGACGATTTCCAGCGGCGACTTGTGGTTTGATGTACGTATAGCTATTTGTGCTAAATGGCTGATGCTCATAGAATGAATAGTTACGAACACATTCATTTAATAGCAAACTGTTTAGGTGAAGCATTGTTGTTAAAGACATAGTATTTTAAGTATGTGCCTTTTGACTGGGGACATCAATTGGGGGGAGTTAGGAAAATTGAGAAGACTTATAAGATTATTTTATGTTTCACTCTTATTCAACTTGTAATGAGAAAACCACTATGTCCTAAAAAGTTTCAAATGTTACATCAACGGTTTCCCCCCCAAAAAAATAATTGGTTTGTTTTGAATCACAAACAATTATTGTCAAAATTAAAAATATTTTTCACAAATTTATGAAATCAATTGCCACTTTGACATTGTACATCTTGTGTGTGGAGACCTTTTTTTTGTAAATGTAAAGGATGAAAGAGTGTTTGGGTTGGGTTTTTTTACTGCCAGTGCAAGATATTGACAAGACATTGTGTTTTATTTCACATATATTATTTTGTAAGAATGTCCTAACAAGTGGACAATCCACTGGCAGGTCATACATATATGTTAATTCTTCTTGATTTCTCTGTCACTGTCATTATGTCTCCTTTTAAAATTCTTCCTTGCATTACATTATATCATAGCGTCTGTGTAATTTTGTTGGGGGTAACATAAATGAAAGGAATGTGTCATGGATGTGTGGAGTGAAATAATCTTGATTATCAGCTTGTTCTGTGCCAAAGTCTGTATGGTTTAACTCGTTGTCTCCGATGGAGGTAAACCCACAATACCAGGACCCTCTTTTATTTGATAGTTAAACCGGCAAAAAAGACCTGTTTTCTGCAAAAGAGACCTGTTTTCGGCAATTGCCAATTTAAGAGCGGCTTGCCAGAGATCAAGGAGTTAAGACAGGCAAAGTAATGTGCATGGTGAAAACATCAATTATTAAAGGTTTTGGGGAGCTTGTCACAGTGGGTCCTGCCTCTTTACTTTGTCATCATTTTTTTGCTAGTTCAAAGAAAATATCTTTTGTCATATGTGCTTTGTGAAAACTACGTTACAAAAGCATGTATCAATTCTACCACCGGTTTGATTTGTCAGTCCTTGGGGTTGGTTGGAGAGCGCCACTGGTAAGTCAGACTTCTTAACTTCCCCTATGTTGTTTCTGTCTGTCTGTCTTACTTTTTCCCTGCTCTAAATGACTATTTTTGTGTCGATGTTCTTCTCTTTATTCAAATACAAAACAAAGCTGGGGATGCAAGAAAATACCTGCTGATTTGAGCGACAGTGCTCACTATGTGCCTTGATGATCAAAAACTTGAGTCATTAAACTGTTCTTGTATATACGCTCGACCATTGCATGTTACTTACTTGAATCTAATAGATGATGTTTGCAATTGCCATATTTTCCTCGTGTGTGATTCATTTGTATTTAGTTAAGGCTTGTTCGTCCTGACATACAGTGGTAATATGTGTATCGTGGCTCTTTTCATATGAAAAGGTTGGGGGGGTAAGCCCCCGTAAGCTTATCGCACTGGTTTAGAAAAAGTGCTTTTGTGGAAAATTTGAAGATGAACATACTTGCCCACACCTCTTAGTTTTAGTAATGTAATCAGGCCAGTCGTGCTACGTTTGTTTCTACAACTGAGTCACGCTGGTCTGAATAAATAATTGAGAGTGAGAGGACTTTCTAAATCGCAGGTGGCTGGCCGCTGGTACATTATGTATGACAATAGTCTATACGCTCTTAAAGCAAAACTGTCTCTTACCTGACATCAGTTGTGGGTGGTTGACAGGTGCTCTGGTGTGATTTACTCCTTATCATTGCATCCTTATCAATCATCTCTTCTTTCTCTTTGTATGTTACTCTCTAGCAACACCTCTAATCTTCAGCATTTGTATGATCTATATGTGTTGCAAGTGCTGTAAAACTTAATAAACTAAACTAGCTTTAATTGCACTTTTTCTAATTCCACTTTAAGCTTGCCTAGTTATGTACTTGTAGAATATTTGGATAGATGGTCGGACCAGTAGAAAGATGTGAAGCAGCATGACTCGCCCAATATTGCGATTAGTAACCACTGGTCTGGCAACCGCATTAATCATGTGTGTAAGGTCACAACCTTGAGCTAAATCTCTGCCAGCTGGAAAGGCTTGGTAAATAATAACTGCTTATATTGTCCTTATTATTACTCTCCTTATGCCTTCATTAGCATACACATGACATGTTTTCCAGAGCATTTCATATTAGGGATACACATGTTGAACATTAGTGACCTATATTTAGAGGTCTAGAAAGATCAAACGGTCACCGTTTTATTCTGTGACCTACATCTGTTGTCTTCCTGCCCTCTATAACCTTTTGTTTTTGACGTGAGGGTCTCCCCTGAGTATGTGGCACTGAAATGGGTACAACATAAGGCCTACATGATGCATTTTATTTCTTCGTAAGGAACAATCTATTGTTTTATGGAAGGACCACCTATGGACTGGTGTAAAATTTTGATTTGTTAAAAACAAGATTGTTGTTGTTTACACAGTGTGGGCCTATAGAGACGGCAACTGGAACTTAACATACACAATTCACTTGTTGTATGCAACAGTCAATGCTGGTGGGTGGTTGGCGGGTGCTCTGGTGTGATTTGATTTTTCTTATCTTCTCGTTTTGTGTGTTTATGAGTCTCTTGTAACAAACACCTCTAATCTTCGGTACTTATGTGACCTAATTGTGTCTCAAGTGCCGTAAAATACTTTCTATAAAATTCTATGCTTTGAAGTGTCCCATGTGCGCTCTCTCTCTCTCTCTCTCTCTCTCTCTCTCTCTCTCTCTCTCTCTCTCTCTTTTCACCTGTCTGTTTCTTCTGCTCTCCATTTCACAACTCCTTTAAAGAATTTTTTTTTTAATTACATGCACAGCCATTAGCAACCTGCAATCATTGTAA